TTTCCCTCCACATTTGAAACACATACCTCCTTTCCACTCACAGCTGAGTTCAACCTATTTATCACATCTAGTTTGGATTTTTCTAATAGCCTTCTAATAGCTCTTCCTGCTTCCAGTCTTTTCCATCTTTATTTCATTTTCTACTCAGCTACTCAAAGTATTTGAATACCCTTTGAGCTCAAAATTCTCTCCCTCCCTCTCCTTCCCCCTCCTTGAAAAAGCAAGCAATTTGATATCAATTATACATGTGAAGTCATGCAAAACATTTCCATATCAGCCACGTTGAAAAAGAAACCCTCCCCCATCCCTGCCAAAAGTTAAAAAAAAAAAAAAAGCTTCAATCTGCATTCAGAGTTCATTAGTTTCTCTCTCTCTGGAGCTGGATAACATTTTTCATCCTGGTTCCTTTGGTATTGTCTTGATCATTGTAGCTAAGGCTTTCACAGTTCATCATCTGTACAGTATTGCTATTACTGTGTGTAATGTTCTCCTGGCTCTGCTCACTTTACTTTGCATGAGTTTATATAAGTATTCCCAGATTTTTCTCAAAACAATCCCACCTATCATTTCTTACAGCGCAATAGTATTCCATTATAATAATGTACCACAACTTATTTAGCCATTCCCTAATTGTGGGTATCCCATCATTTTCCAATTCTTTCCCACCACAAAAAGAGCAGCTATATTTTTGTACAAAGAGTTTCTTTTCTCTTGTCTTTGATCTCTGTGGGATACAGGCCTAGTAGTGGTATTGCTGGGTCAAAAGGCATGCACAGTTTAATAGCCCTTTGGGCACAATTCCAAATTGTTCTCCAGAATGGATGTGACAGTTCACAACTTAATCAACAATGCAATACTGTCCCAATTTTTCCACATTCTCTCCACCATTTGTCATTTTCCTTTTCTGTCATGTTAGCCAATCTGACAGGTATGAGGTAGTACCTGTTTTAATTTGCATTTTTCTAATCAGTAGTGATATAGAACATTTTATATGTGACTATCTTCATGTGATGTCTTACTTTCAAAACTGCCTGTTCATATCCTTTACCCATTTATCACCTGGGGGATAGCTTATTTTTATAAATTTGGCTCAGTTCTCTATGTATTTGAGAAATGAAGCCTTTATCAGAAAAACTTGCTGTAAATCTATGCCCACCCCTTTCCTGTTTTTCTTCTTAATTTGGTTAGTTTTGTGTAAAAGGTTTTTAATTCCATGTAATAAAAATTATCTATTTTACTTTCTATGATCCTCTGTCATGCTTGGTTATAAACTCTTCCCTTATTCATAGATCTGACAAGTACATTTTTCCTTGCTCCCCTAATTTACTTATGACGCTATCCTTTATGTCTAAATCATTTACCCATTTTTGACCTTGCCTTGGTATACAGTGCGATATATTGGCTTAATCCTATAGTTTCTGTCAAACTGTTTTTCAGTTTTCCCACCAATTTTTGTCAAATGTTGAGTTCTTACCCAAAAGCTTCTATCTTTGGGTTTGGGTTGATCAAACACTAGATTGCTACGGTCATTTACCATTGTGCATTGTATAACTAACCTATTCCACTGATCCATCACTGTGTTTCTTAGCCAGTACCAGATTGTTTTGATGATTATCACTTTGTAGTATAGTTTGAAATCTGGAACTGCTAGACTGCCTTCCTTCACATTTTTTTTCCCATTGATTCCTGATGGGATATTCCCACAGCACAGGTCTGAACATTTCAGTAACCTGATTGAATAAACTCCAGTGACTCCTTACCACCTCTAGGATCAAACATAAACTTGTTTGGCATTTAAAATCCTTTACAAACTGATTTCAACTCACCCTTTTGGTCTTATTGTGGACCAGTCTCCTTCACACTCTTCAGTCTAGCCAAAATGGCTTGTATTTCTCACATGACATCCCATCTCCCATCTCTGAATGCAATCTTTCACCTCGATCTCTTAGAAGTATCTTCTACCTTTTTGGAAGCCTTCGTTTCCTTCAAAGCTTAGCACAATGTCATGTCCTACATAAGGCATGTCTTGATCTGTCCAGTTGCTCGTGTCTCCCTCCTACCACAAAGATCGCCTTGTATTTATTTTGTATGTATATGTACGTGTTGACTCCCTCAACAGAATGAAAGCTCCTTGAGGGTCAAAGACTATTTCATTTTTTTGTCTTTGTGTTCCCAGTATGTAGCATAGCACCAAACATAAAGTAGATACTTAATAAATGTTTGTTGATTTCACTGATCAGGACTGGATACAACAAGATGGTGATCTCCCGCGTTTTAAATTCTGTATTTTCACTAAAATCTTAGGGTTTTGTTTTTTAAGTATCAGACTTGATTTCCTCTCTGAGAAACTTTCTATACCGAAAGAGACCAACAATTTTCCCACAATTTTAAGTCTCAAGAGCTGCCTGGGGGCACTGAAAAATCAAGGGCCTTGCCAAGGGTCTAATAGGTTTCTTTTTCATGAATTAAGTTAACCAAGTCCCTAGATCTTCTGAGAAATGGGTTGGTGAGCCCTTCTCCTAGAACTAATCATTACATCATAGATTCAAATTGGAATGGACACTGGTGACTTCATTTTACAAATAAAAAGGGGCCTACAAAGCTCAAATGAATTGGAAAAGGTCACACTGAGTAACAAAGCTGGGATCTGAACCCAGGCCCTCCAATTCCAAATCTTCCTCCTTCCCACCTTCTTATCCCATAGCAGGTGAGCCCTAGATAAGCTGACTATGAAGACCTGGTATTCAACCTATAGAACTGAGAGACCAAGATTTGAAAAAATCTCACGCTGTCTGGACTAGCACTAGGACCATGTCTCCTGAACTTCCTTGCTTCACTTAATACACTATTCTCTAACAATCTTGCTAACCCTCCTGCCGCTGACAGATCCATTCTCTTTCCTTTTCTCCAGTTCTGGAACCAGGATCAACTGTTTCATTGAACCTGGAAGAGATGGTAATCTACTTCCCTCTGGTCTCATTCACCATCATTATAACTTTCCATACTGGAGTGTCCTTCCTTGGCCACCATTAATTGATGGATGTTGTTCTGCCTCTATTACAGTGTTAGTCATAAACCATCTTTGCTATTGGATTTACATCCCCAATATTATGGTAATACATGGTAAGGGCTTAATAAAATGCTTTTTTCATCACTCATTTTACCAAGGTACAATTACTCAGGCCCTGGCTAAACAAATAGCTTTCAACATCATTCCAAACTCTTATGTGTAGGGGTAAAGTCTAGGCCTGTGGTTTTCATCATAAAGGAAATTCTGGTCTGGTTTTTGCCACTAACTAGCTCTGTGACCAAGGGCAAACCATCCAACTACTCTGAGTAGTCTGAAGAAGGTCAGACACTAGTGTTTTGAAAACCATATTTTACACAATATATAAGGTTCCAAGAGAGTATTTTGGTGTTAGCAAAAAATTTTCCTATATTAGAACAGGGAAATGTTAAAAAACAAACAAACAACATTTCCATGAAGCAATTGCTTTTGTTTTAAAACAGGTTTAATCTCTATTCTGCTTCAAAATTTCCTAGATCTTTTATGCCAGGGGCATTCCACCTCCCTCCCCAGACTGGCATTTATGGGTTCTGTAGGTGTATTTTTGAGCCCCAAAACATTCCATGGCCAAATCACCGTGGTAACATCTTGCTAGCTATCTTCTAAAGTTATTCCTACCTCTAAAATTCTCTACAAAGCAAGTTTACTACCTTAGAAAACCACTGTACAGATTATTGTAAGAATGCCAACAGTAAGCTGAAAGAGATAAAGGAAACAATGGGATAGTAGCATTCAATAAACAGCAGAGAGCTGATTTCCTCATTAGGTGGTCAATGACGGCCTTAAACGGTTGTCCAAGGGATTCAGAATTCTTGCATGAGGCACTGTCTAGGCAAAGATGAATTGATGGGGCATCCTGGGACAGGCTGACATGGAGGAATACAAAGCTAGTGGTAGGAATGTTTGAGGTCAAAAAAAGTTACACATGTTGCCAAGAGCTACTTTCGTTGGGAGACATAAAGATTTGAACTGGCCTTGGGACGAGCAAGGCAAAGAAACTCCCTCTAATTCTTGGTTGGGAAACATGATAAAAGCAATTCCCACATGTCTATAGCTAGGAGGGGGTGAAAACAACTTTCAGAGCTAAGCCCATGTTTACCACTACTTCTTTAAAAAGTTCAAGAATTCGCAGACTCAAAGTTAGAGCAGAAAGGGTGTGCCATTGAGGCTATCTAGACCAACCTCCTCATTTTACAGGTGAGGAAAATCAAGGCCAGAGAAGTGGGGAGGGGGTAAAGAAAAGGGAACAAGAATTTATTAAATGCCTACTATGTGCCAGGCACTATGCTAAGTGCTTTACAATTATCATTTAATTTAATCCTTATAATAATCCCATAAGGTAAATGCTATTATCCCCATTTTTACAGTTGAGGAAGAGGCAGAGAACACTTAAGTGATTTGCCCAGACTCAAAAAGCAAGTAAACATCTGAGGCTTTGAACTCCAGTAACTCAAGTTTTCTTGCCTCAAGGACCAGCCCCACCAAGGTCACACAACCAGCTTTGTCCTGTGACCACAAACATATCTCTCTCTCAATATTAAAAAAAAAAACTAATTTAAAGGTGAAGATTACACACCCACACCCACCCACTCACCCTTAGCCTTTTCTGACTGACAAAGAAGAAATAGAACCTTTAAAAGATAAGGGAAAAATAGCTGTCTTCCAACAGGAATCAATGGAAGCTCTATGGACAGCTCTTAACTATTCTCACTTAGGGCTAGGCTGATTTCTTTAAGTTCTTTTTAATTTTAATTTAATTTTTATTATTTTTATTAATTTAATTTCTTTAAATTCAGTGAAGGTGTGAATATTAAGGGCAGGGACTAGATTCAGATGGCCTGAATATTCTTCTCAAGTCAGATCCAAAACAGACATTCACTTCCCATCTTGAGAGCAAAAACAGAAGAAATTATAAAGGAAAGACTCAAACAGCTTTAGAACAAAACCGTTGTATTTCTACTAGTAGGTACAGAGGATTTTGTAATATGGATGGATATTATGAATGGCAAATAATACAAATATACTTTATTTTGGAAAAAAGTTTACATAAGTAATGGGACACTTTGGAAACACTCTTGCTTAACCACGTTACTGAACAAAAATAATGCCACTTTAAGCACAAACATCCTCCTCTTCAACATGTATTTGGAGATAGGAAGACAGCATTTGGTTTAAAAAAAAAAATGACCTCATGTTAAGGCCTCGTCACCTAAGTGTAAACAATGTAGAATGAATTCACCATACATAGTTCTGATTACTAGCTACAGCAAATCCGTGGTGTCTCTGTTTTGAGAGCTATGGAACACATACCTTCACTCACCCTCCTGGAAGGGTTGCTGTATCACAGTCTAAGTTGAGCTCTTGGCAGGCAGGACTGAAGAAGAATGTCAAACAAGTTTTACAAACCATTTAGAGCGAATTGCCAGTGTTCCCTTGAAGTACATTAAGAAACAGGTAACAATAGAATGACACTGCTTAGAAGTTATTCTTCTCACTTTGGTGCAATTTTTTTTTTGTTTTTATTTATGATTTATGCACTTGACTAATTCATACACTTACAGTACAAACTCTAGTAACCTGCCAGAAAGCATTAAAGCACAATATTCCTTAGGCATCTGCATTTTTCAAGTTTTAATATTTATTCTTCTACATCCAGACTGTGTCAGCAGTTCTTGAATATAAAAAAATATATAAATGCGGTAGCTATATTCTAAAAATGCAGATGCCTATAACAACCATATTACTAGAAAGAAGGGAATTTTTGGAAAAGGAAGAAAGGAAACAAGTTTCACTTGGAGGGAATGTGGTTCAAGTCTTTGGATTAAAAAATAAACAACAACACAAAACCCCCAGATTTTCCCCAGAGAAGCTGGTTATTATGGGAATTTCCAGAAACCCCCCCCCTTTTTTTTTTCCACCAAAGGGACCTTAAAAACCCCATTCCAAATATTTAAAAATCTACAGCTATCAAGATGCCATTAAGTGGCAATCAGCAGTCAAAAGAGGAAGGATGTCTGTAGATATATCTTGCAGCACAGCATCTTTAGCTATTGGTTGATCAGTAAAAACCACTGGTATACCAGAAGTGCTATTAAGGATAAGGGTGGGAGAGTATTGAAAACATTACCTGCCTGTTTGTGAGAGGGCTTTCATGGCTAGGAAATTTTCTAACCAGTACATAAATTCCAGGACATATCTCTTTCTCTTTCTTTTTTCAATGTTAAAAATAACTGAATTTAAAAAAAATCCTACAAGTAGATACAGTCACAATAGGAAGTTACATGGCAAGGACACACACACACACAAAAAAAACCATCAAGACAATGCTATTGGTTCAATAGTATTCCAAGAGGCTAGAAAACCTGTTAACTTTGAAAGCCCTAAGAAAATACCGCACTTGTTTATAAACCACCTACTTATAAGACCATACTTTGAATCTTTTTTTCCCTTTCCTTTCTTCTTCTTCTTCTTTTTTTTTTTGCATGTTACAAATGAAGAATTTCACATCCAGCCTTAAGCATTTTGCATTTCTTTGCCAATCTTGTAGCTGAGTATCTTGTTCCAGTCGATTTTGGTGCGGGTGACTGGAAGCTGCCGGCGCAAGGCCTTGAATGTGGTGTCTGACATTGTCTGATAATTCTCACTAATCGCGGTCTGCAATAGACAATTGATTTGTAGATAAATGTCAGTAGCTCTGAGTAATAAAGGAAGTGCTTGAGTAGCCTCCAAATGACAGGACTTTTGATTTTTCTTGAATGTTTCTACTAATCACTAAAGTGGCTCAAGGAAACTCTCCAGTGTGGAAGCAACTTAACTCCACTTAATTGTATTTTTAAAATGAAACCAAGGGGAAATGCAAACCTAAGAATTTCAGAGGGACAGGATCCTTAAGTCTTGGACTAGTACTATTTATGATACATATTAATATTAAAGAAAACAGATGCCTGATAAAAGGTGTTAACATGGCAGATTCAATGTCTCTAGATAAATTACCAAAAAAAATCATCTTACCTGATACTCATTTTCAGCATGTTCTATGATTTTTATAAATTCCTTGGCAGTTTGTACATCATCCTAATAAGAAGTGAGAAAAAGCATGAATAAGATTATCAAGTATAAGTAATACATAAAAAGTTTACTGAATAAAGGAATTTAATCTCCAATGGAAGAGATCATGAACACACCTTTGTAAATACCCTTGGTGCAAGAAGCTGTGACGGAGGCACCACACCAATTACATAAAAATTAACCGTTAATTCCCAGAATTGCTATTTATGATTGGTGACAACTAGTCATATTTTGCTTAAAGATTCAATTTTCTGAAAATGGAATGGATTTTTCTTATCTTTTCATCTTCCTGCTGCCACTGAGTAGAAAAGGATAAAAGTAAAAAGCTAAGAATTGGGTCACTGGGGTATTATGGATCTTGTGGTCTTGAGACCATAATAATAGTCTTCCCTTAAGGAGGCTGGAGCTTATACAATCTATTCATGGAAAAATATGGCAATATTTTTTAAGGTTAGTGCAGCTGTGTACCCAAAAATAATATCTTTCCACCAGTTAGGTTGCTTTTCTCCCTGCACCTGTGTAGCCCCCAAATCTCATATGCCCTGAAAGCTACCATACAAAGTGGCCAGTTCCAAGTGACCACCAAAGTCAGGGTAGAAATATCACGCTCTCAGAACAGCACCTCGGAGTACACTTGTCTAGCTGAATGGACCTGTGTCTCTGTCTTCCCCAATGGCAGTTTTTACAAAAGACTCTATATGAGTGTGTGTCTGAACTGTATATTAACTCTCCTTTTCCCTCTTCCTCACTACTTGTCAATTAAGTTTTCTACTGAACTAGCTCCCATTGTTTTAAATAGTGTTCTCAGCATCCAAATTCATTAATGGGTTGTTTTTCCCGATGTCTCTGGTTGGTCCATGGGTCTTCTTTTAAACTTACACGTAAACTAGTACCTGGGCAAGACTTAATCTGTTGGTACTCACATCTATGCTAGGGGAGCAATCAGTTGGGGAATAGAAGACTTGTCACAAAACAGGGGAGCTACTTTGCACAGCGACACAAGATCTCATTGGCCCTTTTTCCATTATGTACCTTTGTTCCAGACCTAACACTTGTACAAAACTCCTCTGGCTCCCCAACTCTCTCAGTGGAGCTCTGTGGGGTGCAGTTAGTGCTTTGCACATAACAGGTACTGAAGGTTTTTTTAATTGAATAGAAGAGCAGCTTACTATACTAGCTACCATATATTTCCCAATGAAAGGCATTACTGTTTTCTAGCAAGCAATTCTACTATCTCACTGGTCAACATGTTCTGAATTTCCTATTTATTATGATCATCTCACAGAAAGAAGGAACATTACATTCTCTAAAGCCATCCCTACAGCTCTAGGTCAAAGATTAAACTGGCAAGTGGTGTAACTGGTTTTACGGTTGTCCCAGGAAAACTCATACTGCTCAACTCATAGCAACCAAAGTTAAAACCTTGAAAGCAGAATTTGTGTTTCTATTTTTTTTTTTGGCTTTTTGGTGAGGCAATTGGGGTTAAGTGACTTGCTAGGGTCATGCAGCTAGTAAGTGTTAAGTGTCCAAGGCCAGATTGGAACTCAGGTCCTTCTGACTCCAAGGCCGGACCTCTACCCACTGCACTACCCAGCTGCCCCTACTTCAGAATGAAGTAGATCTTGAATGAAGCTGATCTTGAAAGTAAAAAAGTAGAAATTGGAATCCTTCAGGGACAACCGAAATATGATGAGACTTGAGGCATTCCATACTTACAGTAACGGTTACTGAATCCTGTACATCTTTGTGACTAACCAACTGAACATTGCCATCTTCATAGTAATGGACCTGAATGAGGGAGTGATTGAATAAATTGAATAACAAGCAGTTCATATGGGAACATCACCTAAATATCATCATCTCTGAGTAGGTTATTCACAATATTGTTGTGAATGGAAACTCTTCAAACTTCAAAAGATCTCTGATTCCATTATTGTGGGTACTTCCTTTATCAAGGCAGATTGTATCACTTTAGCAGATTAGCAGTCTTTATGATTTGCTGTGGCTAACATCTGGATATTTACTTCTGGGTTCATATTCTGAAATCTTTCTAAGACAGTAACACCTGCTAGACTTTGTATGTGCTCCACAGGTACAGATTATGAAGACCCGTAATTAGAAATGAAAGAAGGACTTTTGTGGAGGTAACTCTTATTAAAAGTGTATTAGGGAGTATTAGGGAAGCATAAACATTAACTGACATTACAAATACTATTTTTTAAAAAAGACACAATGCTGGAATAACATTCAAAGAAAGATATGTGCATGTAGTCTTTTCTCTGATCCTTAATTGTAGCAATTGCTGCTCAATTTTTTTTTCTTGAGAATGAGTCTCCTTATGTTACCCAGGCTGAATGTGCCCACTAATGGACCTGATCCTACTACTAATCAGCATGGGCACTTTGACTGGATTAGTCTAACCCTCTTAAGACATCCTAGCAGCCCCCACACTCTAAGGACTCATGATACTGGTACTGGATTTAGCGTGAACACCCAATTCACCATCCTCAGCCTCTTTGGTGGTAGGGATTACAGGCCTGATAGTCACTGTGTAATCTAACCCATGTTTTATCTGTAGGCTTGAGCAGAAACTACACTAACTGATGTTGAATCCTTCTTGACACGGACCCTTATTAGGATAGATGAAAAAAATCCATCATAAGATTGCTTTCAAAAGCCTCAGGGAAGCTTTCTCAATGGCTACTCTTTTTTTAAATTCTATTTACCTTGCCTTAGATGAAGTCATATCTTGCTAGTCTCTCAAGACCCTTTGCTATTTATACTCTAATTAAATGGCTATCCTTGCCATTTTCATCAAGTTTTCTACTTTTACCTACTTGGTTCTATCCTACTTACTAAACTCTAAGTTCCTCAATATCTGAGAACATGTCTTTCTTTTCTTTGCATTCCTCACAGCATCTGGTCCATAATAGATACTCAGTAAATATTTACTTAACGAGCTCAAAATCTCCCAGTTTTGAGTTTTAGCTCAAAATTAAGACCTGTTTATATTTATAGTTTCTTTTCCAACTATGGGTTGGATCTTAGCTTTCTTTTTGCTTATTTATCCTAGAAATACTTGGTATTTCTTAAAGCCATAATCCATTCTCTCAATACTAAAAGTTCCAGAATCTTTACCTCTGCCCCTCTCCCTCCCCTTCCCCAGGCGGAATCAGAAAGAGAAAAACTGGAATCATATACTGTGTTCCTTGAGGGGGAATATACCTGTATTACTGTTCTTTTCTCATCTGATCCCAACGCTGCTCTGGGAAAGAGATCTAAAATCCTGGCTGCCCAGCTACCAACTGCAGAAAACTAGTCTTCACATCAACCCGTTCTAACTCAGAACATGACACAAACTTGCCCTTTTCATTCTAAAAAGCCCATATCCATTTTCTTATTACAAAATCCAATTTTTGGAATAACCTTTAAAAGCACATTTAAATAGAATGTAATCAAGTTTTGAAGCAAAGCTATGAAGAGGCTTCATTTCCTGGGGTCATTATCATTTGGTCAGTTGACCTCACCTGAATCTTTAGCACTCCAACCACCTGAGCTGTAGGTGGTGTAATGGTAAACTTCCATTCTGACCTCCAACGACCATTCCTATGCCAGACCAAAATGAAATTAGAGAATAAGTGAACAGGGAAAAAAAAAACCCAACAAACAAACAAAGACTGAATTTTGAATGGAAAGGGTAGGAAACTATTCTGACAGTGATGACTAGAGATGACATGCCAACCAAACATTGGATTTAAGAAGATTCAGCCATAAATATCAAGTTGCCTTACCACTTCTCCATGGGAAGCACTACTTAAAAAACCCCAGTGACTTTTGTCAATAATCCACTCTTGCTCTAATTCAACTGAGAGAAATGAGTAACAGTAGTGATTACCAGTAATGATTCACATTTCCATAGTATTTTAACAGTTCTATGAGGAAGGCAGTGTAGGCCTTACACCTTGTTTATCAGTCAATAGGGAAACTGAAGCTTGGAGAGAGAAAGCTGTTTTGCCTAAATTCACGTAGCTAACTAAGGGACAGCCAAGACACAACAAAAACTGGGTAGATTTTCTGATTTCAAATCCAGTGCTCTTTGTCCCCACATCTCATAGTTTACCCCTATCGACATTAAGCAGCAAGCCAGATAGATATAGGGCAGAAGACTAGGGTGACCAGGTAAGGCAGTGAAAACAGAGGACAGCCTCTACATTCTTACCAGAAGTTTTTAGGCTGAAATTGGTGGCTCTCAATACAGGCAATAATAGTCTTCTGCCCATCTATAATTTTAGCATAAACCTATTTGTGAAAGAAATAAAAAAAAAATCAGACTTAAGAGGCAATATAAAGTTCTACTAGGGCTTGCCCATATGACTACTTTGGATGGATAAAACTTAAATGACAATATACCACTAAGGCCTAAAGCATGACAAAAAGATTAGAGTTATAAAATAGGGTGTCACTAGGTCCCTTCTTTAGGTCCTAAAAATTTACTGCAGAACTCTTAGCCTACTGGGATCACTTACTTTTATGTGATTTCCTCACAATGAATATACAAGGTAGGTGATGCAAAATATTTTTACTCCTATTTTACAGATGAAGAATCTGAGATTCAAGGGCCATTATTAGTAAGTAATGATACTGAGATTCAAACCCAGGTCTCTTGAGTTAATGTCCAGGCTCGCTTTCTCTATGATAGCTATTATTTTTAAGTCATTCTTATCATCACCATATGTTTTGGAGGGAAATACACACATGACTTCTTTTCTGAATGAAATCTTTTTATCTTATCAGAGAATCATACATAGAGCCAATGGCTCTTCCTGAAAACCTTATTTTGACATTTTCTCCATGTCCAACTCAAGTATTTTCTAACATACTGGTGAGGGCCTGTTAATAGTGATGCCAAAATAACACAAATCTGATATGGATTTAAAAATTAATGTAGAGACATGTGGTGATGCTATATAATTTATACCATTCATTTCAAAAGTGACTCAGGTAGCAAACACAGGACTCCTAAATAAGAAGTAATTGATATCTAGTAGGCCATGGTTCCAATGCATCAAGTAAGTGTATACATAGAAAAGTATTTTATTTAACAGTGAAATAAACAGATACTTAACAGTACAGAAGCCGTTGGAATAATGATCTTTCACATAGGCCCTTAATGCGCTGTCACAGGATTCCCTCCATGACTTCAGAGTTCCATCTATGTCCTCAGGTTGGGGGTCACTTGCTTCTTTCCGTAAGTGATCAAACTTAAAGGAAACTTTATTTCTTGGATCTAAAAATCTGCCACTACCCAGGTCACCATGTTCTGTAATTAAGACCTTTCAAATACAACAAAATTTACATATGTAAATATACTGAAAATAATATTTTGCTCAACATATTTCTGAAAATTCTCAAGGGTGCAAGCTAAATATTTATCCTGTTATTTGCCATTTATTCAAGACTCATTTTTATTTTTATATAAGGAGATATATAGATGACTAAAAAGTAGGCAGTGCTGCAGGAATCAATATCTCTTGTCTTATTTTGCTTCCTTGTTAGAGATGACCCTTCTCACCACTATGGACGCTTCTAGTGGATAACTTGTACATATTATCACCATTAAAACTAATTTTCTATGAGTAATATTGTGTTGTGGAACAAAATTTAAATTTTGTCTCATTTAGGCTTTACCTAGCATCTCACTTTCAAACATCTCCTTTTGCTTTTATTGAGATCTCTTCTAGTCAGGAACAGATATTTACCTGATCATCATACCCTTCTATCTTCACTGGAGTGAACTGATCCATATTATACTGGGCGAATGCACTGTTAAAAAATGTAAACAAGTAAACTCAGTAAGACTAATGGCACACCAAAAACTACGCAAATAAAATAAAGGAAAACTTACTTTTGAAAAATACTGTAATAATGACAGCATTATACAATGCTTTTGCTGCCTGGGCCACAGATTCTTAGCCTTGTCTTTAACAATAATGTAAAAATATCAGTGACTGAACAATTTAGCTCTCAGTTATTTTAACTCATTTAATCAACCAATAAGCATTTATTAAGCACCTCTGATGTGCCAGGCATTGTGCTAAGTGCTGGTGATAAAGACAAAAAAAAAATTAGTCTGATCACAAAAAGCTCACATTCTAATGGGGGAGACAAGACATATGGAAAGTTTCAGCGGTAAGTCAGATGGAAAAATTCCATGATCTTTAGGACAAAGTAGCAAAGCAGATGGTAATGTTCCATCTTTAATGTTATTTTACTGATAAAAGTCATATCAGTTTCTGATGGTGAACCATTTGACAGTGCCAAGGACTTTGGTAGAAAGAACTTTCTTGTCATGCCCATCAATGCGGTAATGGCTGAACATGTTGTGGTATATGAATGTAATGGAATACTATTGTGCTATAAGAAATGACGAAGAGGTGGACTTCAGAAAAACCTGGAAAGGCTTATATGAACTGATGCTGAGTGAAGTGAGCAGAACCAGAACACTGTACACAGTAACAGGCATACTGTGCAATGACTAATGTTCACAGACTTGGCCCTTCTCAGCAATGCAAGGATCTAAAACAACTCCAAAAGACTCATGATGGAAAATACTGTCCACATCCAAAGAAAGAACTATGGAGTTTGAATGCAGATTGAAGTATACTATTTGCTCTCTCTTTTTTTGGTGTGTGGTTTTTTTTTTGCTTCTCCTTTGTCGTGGTTCTTCCCATTGGTTCTAATTCAGGGAGAGAGGGGGGAGAAAATTTAAAACTCAAAAGCTTATGGAAGTGAATGTTGAAAACGAAAAATAAATAAATTAAAAAAAAACAAAAACAACTTTCTTTCCTGAGTCTTCAGCAGCTGTGGCTATTGCACTTTGGCTGTGAGGGCTAGATTGGACCTAGTGATGGGAAGTTGGGAGTACTGCCAAATAAGGCTCTTGAGCTTACCTGCTCATGGTGGCAGTTGATCAGCATTTAGCATTGTTGGTAGTGAGAAAGGTGAGCCTTTCTCCCAACAACTTCTCCTCTCACTGATAGATGTGTAGCCTAGGCTAGAAGCAGGACCAGGTCATCTGGAGCATACTGCTATTGTTAGGGTTCTTGAATTCGGGGTTTTGGACTATCTTCATTAGGGTATGAGGGGAGGTAGTGGTTGTGGTCTGATGTGCCTGGCTTTCTATCTATCCCTTAAGGATGCCCCCATGGCTTTAGCTAGGTTGGCTGCCTAACTCATAGGTGACAGTTGGTTAGAAGTTGGTGGGGATGGCTAACCCTTTCTCTATAGGAGTCGTTTCCCTGGATGATGGCTATGGGGGCTGGGCTGGAAAGAGGACTGATACATTACTATTCCCAAGGCTCTTGGATTAAGGATTCTGGGCTGTCTCTATCCAGAACTCAAGAAAGGTGGTGGAAGAGGGGTGAAGGGAAGAAGTAACTTCACTTTCCTGGCACAAGGCTGCCTCTTGTTTCTCTTGGACTGGCAAGCTCCTTTAGGCTAGCTTGCCTGCCCCATAGTTGGTAGCTGTTGGGGATAGCTCAACCCTTCTCTATAGGAAACTGTGCCCTAAATTCCCTTCCTTCTCCCCGTTCCACTCTAATCTTCAATCTCTCTCTACTGACTCCTTTCCTGATACCTACCAGGTCTCCATCATCCTTAAAAACCTTCCCTTTGACCATAAATCCTCTCCAACCCCCAACCCAAATACTCTATCTCTCCCCTCTTTCATTGGGTAAACACCTAGAAAAAGCCTTCTACTCTCACTACTTCCACTTTTTCTATCACTTCTAAATCCCTTGCAATCTCGCCTCTGATCACATCACTCAACTGAAACTGTCCTTTCCAAAATCACCAATGATTAGTAACTTAACAATCTTTACCCTACCTGACTTCTCTTGCAGCATCTGGTCCTGCTGACCACTTTCCTCTTGGATATATTTTTCCTGGGTTTTTGTGACACTGATTCCTCTTGGTTATTCTATCTGAACAACTCTCTCAATCTCCTTTGCTCATTCATCATCCATATCACACCCTATAACTATGGGTATATCCCAGTGTTCTATCTTCAATACCTTTTTCTTCTGTCTCTATGCTGTTTTTTGTGAGTTAATGATCATTTCTATGTAGATGACTTCCAAATCTATAGAGCTGGCCCTAGACACTTCTCTAGAACTTCAGTTCCATATCTTTAGGCATCTATAAGATATTTTAAACTGGATATACCATAAGCACCTCAAATTCCACATGTCCAAAATAGGACGAAACGTCTCTTTTTATATTGGACACCACCATCCTTCCAGTGATCCAAGTTCACAACCTCAGTCACCCACCATTTCTCACTCCATGCCTCTAATCAGTTGTCAAGTCTTATGTTTATCTAACATTTCTCACATCTACCTCCTTTTCTTTTACATGGTCACCAGTCTAATTCAGTTCCTCATCACCTCTGGTCTGGACTACTGAAACTGTCTTCAAACCTATCTTTTTAAAATCCATTCCCTACGCAGATCCCAAAGGGATTTTCTTCCCCTCCCCCTTTTTGTATTTCTTTAGTATTTTATTTTCCCCCAGTTACATGTAAAAACAATTTTTAACATTCCAAAGTGGTTTTTTTTGGGGTGGGGGGGGTTTAGGCAACTGGGTTAAGTGACTTGCCCAGGGTCACACAGCTAGTGAGTGTTATGTATCTGAGGCCGGACTTGAACTCAGGTCCTCCTGAATCCAGGGCTAGTTGTACTGCACCACCTACTTGCCCCCAAAGTGGTTTTCTTAAAGCTCAGGTCTGACCATGTCACTATTCTAATCAAGCTCCAGTGGCTCTCTATTACACACCGAGGGTTGAATAGAAACTCCTTTAGCATTTAAATACCTTTTAAACCTGGCTCCAACCCACTTTTCCAGCCTTATAATATGTTACTCCCTCTTCCACATACTATTCAGTCCAAACCGCACTTCATCTTCCATCTCTCTGCCTCTGCAAGGTGGTCCTCCATGTCTGCAACTTGCTTCTTTGTTACTTCTTACAAAGTAACTTCTACCAAAGTTATTTTGTTTCCTTCACAACTTGAGCCACCTTCTACAGGAAGCATTTTCTGATCTCCCAGATGTGTTTTGCCCCTTCAAATTACCTTGGATTTATCACAAAATAAATATTGACTTGGTATTTGCAAGCACTTGTCTTATGGAAGGTGCTTAAAAACTATGTGCCAGGTAATCTGCTAAATGATGAGGCTACACTCTGAATCTTTGTTCAGTCTTCACTTTTAGGAACGGTTAGACAAAGTGGCACGACTTTCTCCTTTAGGTGAGATTTGATTTTGAAGCTAACCAGGTGACTATTACACATGGGCTCAAAGGTCCAGATGATAGTCACAGCTTCATTAGCATCTAGAATGGGCTCTGCCTTTCTCCTGAGGCCCTATTCTCACTTCCACCCTCCAAATAAAGAAAGATAGAGTTTCTGCTCTGGGTGAGGTAAGAAGTTTGATTACCTTTGACTGGACTAATTGTTTATTTGGCATTTAAAACCCCAAATTATTGGCTCTCTCATTTGGATCCTTCTCTTCCCACCCAGGGAAAGAACAGGGAGCTCGTCCCCAGATCTGCCACAAATAGGTAGTCCTCATCTCATTTCCTAGTCAATTCTCAGGGAACTTGAGAGGGTGCTCATGCTGCCAATCTTCAGTTTTATTATACAACATGTAACGTTTACTACTTTTTATATATTTTGTTTGCATACTTTTAAACAATTAAAAATAGATTTTGTTTAGTGCTGCCTCCCCTGCCCCCCCAAAATGCTCTAAGTCACAAGATTTCCTTTTTCTTCACATCTCACTAGCAAAACTCATATTCTTACACTTACCACTGCTGAGACATCTGATTATTTGATCAAAGTAGTTCACAGTTGAGCTATTAGGCTCAATCCTTCTATAGTGTATTTACATTTTAAAACAAAAGTTTAGGAATACCAGTAAATCTCTATCTGGTGGCTAGAATAAGAAGATGCTCTACTCTAGAATCTCAAGTGCAGAACAAGGAGTGGGCAGATCCTTAAATCTGATCTTGAGTGAAGAGTAGAGACAGGACTGGTCCTATGTAAAAATCATAAAATAGCCAAACTTTATTTTGGCACTACTAATTCTATCTATATTCCTTCTTACCTCCTCTCATTCACACAGTGAGGTATAAAATAATGACACTAGCTTATCTAATAAAGACAAAATAATAAATATGAAATTTCTTATTATTCTCTTTTCTATCCTCATCACCTGGTAACTTCTCCCTTGGAAGTCTGTAAAAAGAACCTCTTGTTTTATTTATTTATTTATTTATTTATTTTTTACCTTCAATCTCTCCATTTTCCAAAGTAATTTTAATGTATAGGTCTGATAACATCACTCATCTCCTCAAAAGCCTTCAGGGTCTTCCCATTTTTACAAAATAAAACACAAACTTATTAGCCTAGTTTTCAAGATCTTCCACAAACTGATTCCAACCTATATCCTTCCAGTTTTTTTCTACAAACTGGATACTGATTGTTTTCCATCTGTTTCTCCCTCCATGAATTTGCACACATTTTCCTATGAAATGTATCCCCCCCATGACTACTGAAGTATTTCTCTTTATTTTTAAGGTATAGTTTAAGAAGTATTCCCTCAAGAAGATATAATCTTTCTTTCCTCTAATCTCTTCCCCCACTTTGAATTTTCCAATGCACTTAATCAAATTCTAATTTACATTATGGTCATGCAGATTATACGGCCATAACTTCTGAGCCAGCAGAGCCCTCAGAAATCATTTAGTTTAACCTTTATTTTTACAGA